TCGATGCACCCTCATGTGCCAGTGGGTGAGCGAAAGACGGCGATGTTTCTGGTCACAACGTGACACACCAACTTCGTTTAGATTACGTGAGCGGCTTCTTGTGGTCTGGATGGTCACTCCTTGAATCTGAACTGCAAGCGTAGTATCTACGGCATCGATTTTACGATGATGACATCAGACTTCACCAGACGAGCAGCTCGATTGAAAGACCTACATGATATATGTGTGGACAGCCTATGCATCAGGGTGCAAGCAGAATAAACTCCGATGAATCAGACTATTGAATCTACCTTCTCCTATTCAAGTCGTTTGAATAGGAGAAGGTAGATTCAAAACTTCCTGTGCAGACTATCTTCGTGCTCTCCAAGCTTCCTCGACAAAGCCTCTTACCCTTTGACATCCATCAATGTCCACAAGACAAAGCGTTTCTCATTGTATTCGCTGTCTTCATCATAATCTTTCAGTGAACATTGATCAATGCCCTCAAGCTGCACAAGCTGCGTGGATCTCCTCAATAGTCGTACTTAAGCTTATGCTGGTACAGCTATCTCCCCACGATGTGTACTCCAATTTACCGCTGTACACAGAGTATCGAGATTCGCGTTTATTACTGAAGTATCTATTTACCAGCATCCACCATTGCTGCCTTCTTCCTCTGTTGCTCCATAAGGTCATTCATCAACACCTTTCAATGTAATGTGTCCACAGTCTCGCGACACTCATCCAGGTTCAGAATAAAGTGATCTGACATCTTCGAATCTCGCAGATCAAACCGATCGTCACGTCTTTCTCCATTTCGGTGTCTTTGCTATTCATTTTGGCGGTGGTGTCCGAACTGCAAGTTGACGGCAACCATTTTCAGGGAAACTACGCCTGAGATGATCGGACAAATCGAACATTTCGACGAACAGTGCGATTGGATGCACCAATGATCGGAGGTGGACATCTTAGCTGCGTAGGCAGAGTTCGATCTGCTTTTTATCTTCGATCTTTCTCATTACTCATTCAACGTCTCAAGGGGATTGCGCCATCCTTCCTGCTTCCTGCCAGTCGCCGTAAAACTTATTGAAGGGCGTCCACGCCACTCTGGCTGCCTTGAGAATGAAGCACTGGTACATTCGATGCACCCTCATGTGCCAGTGGGTGAGCGAAAGCCGGCGATGTTTCCGGTCACAATGTGACACACCAACTTCGTTGAGATTACGTGAGCGGCTTCTTGTGGTCTGGATGGTCACTCTTTGAATCCGAACTGCAAGCGTAGTATCTGCGGCATCTATTTTACGATGATGACATCAGACTTCATCAGACGAGCAGCTCGATTGAAAGACCTACATGATACATGTGTGGACAGCCTATACATCAGGGTGCAAGCAGAATAAACTCCGATGAATCAAACTTTTGAATCTACCTTCTCCTATTCAAGTCGTTTAAATAGGAGAAGGTAGATTCAAAACTTCCTGTGCAGACTATTTTCGTGCTCTTCAAGCTTCCTCGACAAAGCCTCTTACCCTTTGACATCCATCAATGTCCACAAGACAAAGCGTTTCTGATTGTATTCGCTGTCTTCATCATAATCTTTCAATGAACATCGATCAAAGCTCCCAAGCTGCACAAGCTGCGTGAATCTCCTCAATAGTCGTACTTAAGCTTATGCTGGTACAGCTATCTCCCCACGATGTGTACTCCAATTTACCGCTGTACACAGAGTATCGAGATTCGCGTTTATTACTGAAGTATCTATTTACCAGCATCCACCATTGCTGCCTTCTTTGTCTGTTGCTCCATAAGGTCATTCATCAACACCTTTCAATTTAATGCGTCCACAGTCTCGCGACACTCATCCAGGTTCAGAATAAAGTGATCTGACATCTTCGAATCTCGCAGATCAAACCGATCGTCACGTCTTTCTCCATTTCGGTGTCTGTGTTATTCATCTTGGCGGTGGTGTCCAGGACCTTTTTGCAGTGTTACTACACTTGACATCCATCCATTTGGTAGTACCGAAGATCTGTCGCGTGGCATGTAGAGCTACCTGGTTCGAACCCTGCGGGTAGTCGAGATCGCTCAATCCGAACTGCAAGTTGACGGCAACCTTTTTCACGGTAACTACGCCTGAGATGATCGGACAAATCGAACATTTCGACGAGCAGTACTATTGGATGCACCAATGATCGGAGGTGGACATCTTAGCTGCGTAGGCAGAGTTAGATCTGCTTTTTATCTTCGAACTTTCTCATTATTCATTCAACGTCTCAACGGGATTGCGCCATCCTTCCTGCTTCCTGCCAGTCGCCGTAAAACTTCTTGAAGGCCGTCCACGCCACTCAGGCTACCTTGAGAATGAAGCACTGGTACATTCGATGCACTCTTATGCGCCAGTGGGTGAGAGAAAGCCGGCGATGTTTCTGGTCACAATGTGCCACACCAACTTCGTTGAGATTACGTGAGCGGCTTCTTGTGGTCTGGATGGTCACTCTTTGAATCCGAACTTCAAGCGTAGTATTTACGGCATCGTATTTACGATAATGACATCAGACTTCATCAGACGAGCAGCTCGATTGAAAGACCTACATGATATGTATGTGGACAGCCTATACATCAGGGTGCAAGCAGAATAAACTCCGATGAATCAGCACTTCTGAATCTACTTTCTCCTTTTCAAGTCGTTTGCACTTCCTGTGCAGACTTCCTTCGTGCTCTCCAAGCTTCCTCGACAAAGCCTGTTACCCTTTGGCATCCATCAATGTCCACAAGACAAAGCGTTTCTCATTGTATTCGCTGTCTTCATCATGATCTTTCAGTGAACATTGATCAATGCCCTCAAGCTGCACAAGCTGCGTGGATCTCCTCAATAGTCGTACTTAAGCTTATGCTGGTACAGCTAGCTCCCCACGATGTGTACTCCAATTTACCGCTGTACACAGAGCATCGAGATTCGCGTTTATTACTGAAGTATCTATTTACCAGCATCCACCATTGCTGCCTTCTTCCTCTGTTGCTCCATAAGGTCATTCATCAACACCTTTCAATTTAATGCGTCCACAGTCTCGTGATACTCATCCAGGTTCAAAATAAAGTGATCTGGCATCTTTGAATCTCGCAGATCAAACCGATCGTCACGTCTTTCTCCATTTCGGTGTCTGTGCGATTCATCTTGGCGGTGGTGTCCAGGACCTTTTTGCAGTGTTACTACACTTGACATCCATCCATTTGGTAGTACCGAAGATTTGTCGCATGACATATAGAGCTACCTGGTTCGAGCCGTGCGGGTAGTCGAGCTCGCTCAATCCGAACTGCAAGTTGACGGCAACCATTTTAGAGTAACTACGCCTGAGATGATCGGACAAATAGAACATTTCGACGAGCAGTACGATTGGATGCACCAATGATCGGAGGTGGACATCTTAGCTGCGTAGGCAGAGTTAGATCTGCTTTTTATCTTCGAACTTTCTCATTATTCATTCAACGTCTCAAGGGAATTGCGCCATCCTTCCTGCTGCCTGCCAGTTACCGTAAAATCTTCCTGAAGGGCGTCCACGCTACTCAGGCTACCTTGAGAATGAAGCACTGGTACATTCGATGCACCCTCGTGTGCCAGTGGGTGAGCGAAAGCCGGCGATGTTTCTGGTCACAACGTGCCACATCAACTTCGTTGAGATTACGTGAGCGGCTTCTTGTGGTCTGGATGGTCACTCTTTGAATCTGAACTGCAAGCGTAGTATTTACGGCATCGTTTTTACGATAATTACATCAGACTTCACCAGACGAGCAGCTCGATTGAAAGACCTACATGATATATATGTGGACAGCTTATACATCAGGGTGCAAGCAGAATAAACTCCGATGAATCAACACTTCTGAATCTACCTTCTCCTTTTCAAGTCGTTTGCACTTCCTGTACAGACTTCCTTCGTGCTCTCCAAGCTTCCTCGACAAAGCCTCTTACCCTTTGACATCCATCAATGTCCACAAGACAAAGCGTTTCTCATTGTATGCGCTGTCTTCATCGTAATCTTTCAGTGAACATTGATCAATGTCCTCAAGCTGCACAAGCTGCGTGAATCTCCTCAATAGTCGTACTTAAGCTTATGCTGGTACAGCTAGCTCCCCACGATGTGTACTCCAATTTACCGCTGTACCCAGAGTATCGAGATTCGCTTTTATTACTGAAGTATCTATTTACCAGCATCCACCATTGCTGCCTTCTTCCTCTGTTGCTCCATAAGGTCATTCATCAACACCTTTCAATTTAATGCGTCCACAGTCTCGTGATACTCATCCAGGTTCAGAATAAAGTGATCTGGCATCTTCGAATCTCGCAGATCAAACTGATCGTCACGTCTTTTCCCATTTCGGTGTCTGTGTTATTCGTCTTGGCGGTGGTGTCCAGGACCTTTTTGCAGTGTTACTACACTTGACATCCATCCATTTGGTAGTATCGAAGATCATCTGCGTGATGTAGATATCTATCCGTGCAATCCATCCACGATCTCTGCCATCGCCACCACTTTCATGCTGCTCTTACGTGTCATGTGCATCTTGGTATCATCGAACATCACTTGGAACTATCTTGCTCTTGCTAATCCAAGGATTAGACAGAAGGTTCTTGATCATATTCGGTCGTAGAGCGCAATCTTGATCTCAATCTCACGTTCGTCGCCGTTGGTTCTGCCCAACGGCGACGAACGTGATCCACGATGGTCCCGGTATCCTTTATCGCAGCCTTGTTATCGTGCACAACCGACAATTCGTCTTCATCGCGCTCACTGAGAGCTGCGAGCTCATTCTTGTCATAGTAGATATAGTGTGTCGCACTGCTGTCTACTACCCACATTCCGGACTAGCCCTTATCCGTCTTAAGTCCGCACTCAAGCGAAACAGCAAACGCTACTCGATTGTAGCCACGATTGTTGCTGTATTCTCTTCACTGAACTTGATGGTCTCTTCGTCCACGGGAATTGCCACCGCATGGATCCTTGGTCTTCTTCCTTTTGCTTGGCTCAGCACCGGTCCACCGTATTCACCGATTTTCCGCAGAAGGTACACCAGCGAGACTCACGCTCGGTATTGAAGGCCTTGCTTGCTTCTTCAGCATTAGCCGACGTTGTCTTCTCGCCTTTTTTCTTGATGTGCTTACTCGTGAGCATTTTCACATAGTCATGCGTCCGCAGTTCCGCGCTGATCATCTCTAAGTTGAGACTTACGTTTTTGTAGCTCTCGGAGAGGCTGCGCAACAAGCAGATCGCCACGTCCTCGTCCTCCATCTTGGCCCCAATTCTGCAAAACTTAAAACTGACGTTCAGGACTTCATTGCAGTGATGCAATGCGTTGGCGCCTTCCACCGTCTCTATACTGAAGAGCTGGCGCTTGATGTAAACGTGCCCAGCTTTCTGTGATCCGCTGTACAGCGCATTCAACCGCGTCCATGCCACCCATCTTCTCCGCAATTGTCAACTACGTGATGGTAGTCTGCGTCCATGTGCAATAACATGAGCACGAAGGCGATGTTTCTGGTCTCGACTTATTCGTCCATCGCGCGAGGGTCCGCGAAGGTTAGAGTGGATACTTAGTTAGTTCACCACATGCCATGTTGACTTGGTAAGGAACATGCCACGCATGTAACGGCTTCAAGTCGCGTGTCTCCATTGAACCTATCAATGAAGACCTTGGTCTTGCATCTTGGGTAGAAGTCATGGTACTTGGGCTTACAACCTGTTGCATCGTTACGAACACTTGAAGAGAAGCTTGGAACACGAAAGAAGTTTTCACCGAAGTGTGCAGAGGATTTGAGTGGAGGAGAGACTGTTTGGAAGTGATTGATTTTAGGTCTCAGCTCTGCCTACTTTGAACTGCATCCAATCACACGGTGCATCTAATCCATCGATTTTGTGTGCGTCCGATCACTCTACTCGTCTAACATAAGCGACGTCACCGAGATGACGTCATAGACTTACCGGAATGACGCGAGATCGGATGGGCAGGGTAACCGGTACAAAGTAACTTACCCGATAACTTGCAAAAGCTACCTTAAGCTAATCAGGCGACTAGGATAGGCATCATGATATATTTGTGGACAGCTTATACATCAGGGTGCAAGTAGAATAAACTCCGATGAATCAAACTTTTGAATCTACCTTCTCCTATTCAAGTCGTTTGCACTTCATGTGCAGACTTCCTTCGTGCTCTTCAAGCTTCCTCGACAAAGTCTCTTACACTTTGACATCCATCAATGTCCACATTACAAAGCGTTTCTCATTGTATGCGCTGTCTTCATCGTAATCTTTCAGTGAACATTGATCAATGCCCTCAAGCTGCACAAGCTGCGTGGATCTCCTCAATAGTCGTACTTAAGCTTATGCTGGTCAGCTATCTCCCCACGATGTGTACTCCAATTTACCGCTGTACACAGAGTATCGAGATTCGCGTTTATTACTGAAGTATCTATTTACCAGCATCCACCATTGCTGCCTTCTTCCTCTGTTGCTCCATAAGGTCATTCATCAACACCTATCAATGTAATGTGTCCACAGTCTCGTGATACTCATCCAGGTTCAGAATAAAGTGATATGACATCTTCGAATCTCGCAGATCAAACTGATCGTCACGTCTTTTCCCATTTCAGTGTCTGTGTTATTCGTCTTGGCGGTGGTGTCCAGGACCTTTTTGCAGTGTTACTACACTTGACGTCCATCCATTTGGTAGTATCGAAGATCATCTGCGTGATGTAGATATCTATCCGTGCAATCCATCCACGATCTCTGCCATCGCCACCACTTTCATGCTGCTCTTACGTGTCATGTGCATCTTGGTATCATCGAACATCACTTGGAACTATCTTGCTCTTGCTAATCCAAGGATTAGACAGAAGGTTCTTGATCATATTCGGTCGTAGAGCGCAATCTTGATCTCAATCTCACGTTCGTCGCCGTTGGTTCTGCCCAACGGCGACGAACGTGATCCACGATGGTCCCGGTTTCCTTTATCGCAGCCTTGTTATCGTGCACAACCGACAATTCGTCTTCATCGCGCTCACTGAGAGCTGCGAGCTCATTCTTGTCATAGTAGATATAGTGTGTCGCACTGCTGTCTACTACCCACATTCCGGACTAGCCCTTATCCGTCTTAAGTCCGCACTCAAGCGAAACAGCAAACGCTACTCGATCGTAGCCACGATTGTTGCTGTATTCTCTTCACTGAACTTGATGGTCTCTTCGTCCACGGGAATTGCCACCGCATGGATCCTTGGTCTTCTTCCTTTTGCTTGGCTCAGCACCGGTCCACCGTATTCACCGATTTTCCGCAGAAGGTACACCAGCGAGACTCACGCTCGGTATTGAAGGCCTTGCTTGCTTCTTCAGCATTAGCCGACGTTGTCTTCTCGCCTTTTTTCTTGATATGCTTACTCGTGAGCATTTTCACATAGTCATGCGTCCGCAGTTCCGCGCTGATCATCTCTAAGTTGAGACTTACGTTTTTGTAGCTCTCGGAGAGGCTGCGCAACAAGCAGATCGCCACGTCCTCGTCCTCCATCTTGGCCCCAATTCTGCAAAACTTAAAACTGACGTCCAGGACTTCATTGCAGTGATGCAATGCGTTGGCGCCTTCCACCGTCTCTATACTGAAGAGCTGGCGCTTGATGTAAACGTGCCCAGCTTTCTGTGATCCGCTGTACAGCGCATTCAACCGCGTCCATGCCACCCATCTTCTCCGCAATTGTCAACTACGTGATGGTAGTCTGCGTCCATGTGCAATAACATGAGCACGAAGGCGATGTTTCTGGTCTCGACTTATTCGTCCATCGCGCGAGGGTCCGCGAAGGTTAGAGTGGATACTTAGTTAGTTCACCACATGCCATGTTGACTTGGTAAGGAACATGCCACGCATGTAACGGCTTCAAGTCGCGTGTCTCCATTGAACCTATCAATGAAGACCTTGGTCTTGCATCTTGGGTAGAAGTCATGGTACTTGGGCTTACAACCTGTTGCATCGTTACGAACACTTGAAGAGAAGCTTGGAACACGAAAGAAGTTTTCACCGAAGTGTGCAGAGGATTTGAGTGGAGGAGAGACTGTTGGAAGTGATTGATTTTAGGTCTCAGCTCTGCCTACTTTGAACTGCATCCAATCACACGGTGCATCTAATCCATCGATTTTGTGTGCGTCCAATCACTCTACTCGTCTAACATAAGCGACGTCACCGAGATGACGTCATAGACTTACCGGAATGACGCGAGATCGGATGGGCAGGGTAACCGGTACAAAGTAACTTACCCGATAACTTGCAAAAAGCTACCTTAAGCTAATCAGGCGACTAGGATAGGCATCATGATATATATGTGGACAGCTTATACATCAGGGTGCAAGTAGAATAAACTCCGATGAATCAAACTTTTGAATCTACCTTCTCCTATTCAAGTCGTTTGCACTTCATGTGCAGACTTCCTTCGTGCTCTTCAAGCTTCCTCGACAAAGTCTCTTACCCTTTGACATCCATCAATGTCCACATTACAAAGCGTTTCTCATTGTATGCGCTGTCTTCATCGTAATCTTTCAGTGAACATTGATCAATGCCCTCAAGCTGCACAAGCTGCGTGGATCTCCTCAATAGTCGTACTTAAGCTTATGCTGGTCAGCTATCTCCCCACGATGTGTACTCCAATTTACCGCTGTACACAGAGTATCGAGATTCGCGTTTATTACTGAAGTATCTATTTACCAGCATCCACCATTGCTGCCTTCTTCCTCTGTTGCTCCATAAGGTCATTCATCAACACCTATCAATGTAATGTGTCCACAGTCTCGTGATACTCATCCAGGTTCAGAATAAAGTGATCTGACATCTTCCAATCTCGCAGATCAAACTGATCGTCACGTCTTTTCCCATTTCAGTGTCTGTGTTATTCGTCTTGGCGGTGGTGTCCAGGACCTTTTTGCAGTGTTACTACACTTGACGTCCATCCATTTGGTAGTATCGAAGATCATCTGCGTGATGTAGATATCTATCCGTGCAATCCATCCACGATCTCTGCCATCGCCACCACTTTCATGCTGCTCTTGCGTGTCATGTGCATCTTGGTATCATCGAACATCACTTGGAACTATCTTGCTCTTGCTAATCCAAGGATTAGACAGAGGGTTCTTGATCATATTCGGTCGTAGAGCGCAATCTTGATCTCAATCTCACGTTCGTCGCCGTTGGTTCTGCCCAACGGCGACGAACGTGATCCACGATGGTCCCGGTTTCCTTTATCGCAGCCTTGTTATCATGCACAACCGACAATTCGTCTTCATCGCGCTCACTGAGAGCTGCGAGCTCATTCTTGTCATAGTAGATATAGTGTGTCGCACTGCTGTCTACTACCCACATTCCGGACTAGCCCTTATCCGTCTTAAGTCCGCACTCAAGCGAAACAGCAAACGCTACTCGATCGTAGCCACGATTGTTGCTGTATTCTCTTCACTGAACTTGATGGTCTCTTCGTCCACGGGAATTGCCACCGCATGGATCCTTGGTCTTCTTCCTTTTGCTTGGCTCAGCACCGGTCCACCGTATTCACCGATTTTCCGCAGAAGGTACACCAGCGAGACTCACGCTCGGTATTGAAGGCCTTGCTTGCTTCTTCAGCATTAGCCGACGTTGTCTTCTCGCCTTTTTTCTTGATGTGCTTACTCGTGAGCATTTTCACATAGTCATGCGTCCGCAGTTCCGCGCTGATCATCTCTAAGTTGAGACTTACGTTTTTGTAGCTCTCGGAGAGGCTGCGCAACAAGCAGATCGCCACGTCCTCGTCCTCCATCTTGGCCCCAATTCTGCAAAACTTAAAACTGACGTTCAGGACTTCATTGCAGTGATGCAATGCGTTGGCGCCTTCCACCGTCTCTATACTGAAGAGCTGGCGCTTGATGTAAACGTGCCCAGCTTTCTGTGATCCGCTGTACAGCGCATTCAACCGCGTCCATGCCACCCATCTTCTCCGCAATTGTCAACTACGTGATGGTAGTCTGCGTCCATGTGCAATAACATGAGCACGAAGGCGATGTTTCTGGTCTCGACTTATTCGTCCATCGCGCGAGGTTCTGCTAAGGTTAGAGTGGATACTTGGTTCACCACATGCCATGTTGACTTGGTAAGGAACATGCCACGCATGTAACGGCTTCAAGTCGCGTGTCTCCATTGAACCTATCAATGAAGACCTTGGTCTTGCATCTTGGGTAGAAGTCATGGTACTTGGGCTTATAACCTGTTGCATCGTTACGAACACTTG